GTCTTATACTTCCTGTAAATAGAACTTTTTAGAGGATTTTTGCGGAGTTTTTGACTTTTTTTTTGATGCATTTACGCCAGTTTCTGGCTCCTTCCATTCGTTACAGCATGTCTGTGGGCAAGATCACCCGGCCGTGTAATGATGATTTGCATTTTGTTTGTTAATAGAACCTGTGTTTTATTTTCTGTAATAAAATTTATCAGAGGATTAATCTCGCTCTGACTAAGCGTTTGATTTTTTTTGATTTATTTGACGGACTATTCGCCCACCGATTGTATCAAGTAAGCATCGCGCAGGATGTTTTTGCAGTTACGTAAGATTTCAAGCACCACTTTTTAACATTTAACGTCCATTAGTTACTAGCAAAGCACAGAAATTTCCCTACCATCGAAATTAACTTTATCGCACTGAAGCACAATGACAAATCAAACGCTGAGGATTTAGCAGAGTGCCTGTCTGTATTCGAGATTAAAAAAGTGCTCTTGACGCTGCTACCGGAGCGACTGTCTGTACATACGATTAAATATTGAATTCTCACATCGACTCTCCGAGTGGTCTTACTTAGCCGAATATATTATGTATTACTTATCAGGCCTTTTTGATGATGGTTTGATGAATAATTTTTTGATGAGCAAAGGAAGTCGCGAATTTGTTGTTGTTGATGTCCTGCTGATGGTCAGCACAATTATGCGTCCGCGCAGTGACCCGCTGTGCGTCAATTCAAGGTGCACACTGCTACTATTCGATATTACAGTGAGAACAACAGAAAAAATTGTCGAAGGCCAAATGTCGTTAGAGGATAAAATCAAAGCATGTGCCGCAAATGCAGGGTAAGGACACCCTTGACGTTCCCTTGAATTACCTCCTCATCACAGTAATTAGGCGCAAAAATGATGATTGTTGTTGAGGTGAATGGGCGAAGTACGGTCATTTATAAACTGCTGACCGGAAAAATAGAATGAGAAAATGGATAGTGAAAGTACCAGAGTAAAGTATTCACAAAAACGGAAGCACTCACTTCTTTGTCATTAAGCGACGCAAAATTAGTAAGGTCTACGGTTGAACAAAATATAAGCAACA